GGGAGCCGACGGTGTTATGAGTCCTTTGTTGTGGACCAAGTTATTTCTGGAGGCTCAAGGTGTTGATGTTCAGGAGAACATCCTTTATCAAGACAACAAGAGTGCTATCATTCTCGCTGAGAATGGTAAGAGCAGCGCCGGTAAGCGTACTCGTGCTCTGAATGTGCGTTTCTTCTTTATTCACGACCAAGTGAAACAGGGAAATGTACGAGTGGTGTATTGTCCCACACAAGACATGCACGGGGACTTTCTCACGAAGCCCCTCCAAGGTGCCCTATTCCATGCGCATCGCGCTTTTATTATGGGGCATCCTCCTATTTAGTTTAGTTTTAATCGTTCCGTGGATCCATTAGGGACCACGGCAGGAGTGTGTTGGCCGGTCTAGATATCTAGCGGACCCGGATAAGAAAAAGACCGCACCACCGTAGGAATTTAAGGAAACTGGCATTCTCAGACCCAGACTTCAAAGCGACCAGCCAGAAAGATCACTTTTTTTCTTCACAGCTCGCCCAAATCAACAAATTAACCTTGATATTACTAGTAGCTGCAGTGTTATTAGACCCAACAATGTCTACCAACACAACAACGACCACTCCAGATCCAAGCACGTCTACCAAGGACAACCCACTCGATCTCTGCAAGCTTGTTACTGAGAAAATTACCACCGACTACCAACATCGGAACCGCGACAATAAAGCTCCACTCGCGATGCTAGCCTTGGCCAGTGTTGTAGTCGATAAGATTATTAGGCCCAACAGGGGAGAGCTAATATCTTCTTATTTCGATAGTCTCACAATGACAGTCCCCACCTTACCAACTTGCAATCCACAATTCCACAGCATCATTGGGCAGAAATTACTCCTCGTGGACTGGAAGACGATGTACGGATTGGACACAACCTGCCCTTGTTGCAAGGACTCTGTTCTCGAGAACGACCGTACGAATTTCTCAAAGAACAAGTTGCTGTTTCCAGTCTTTGGATTGGACGGGCCACCAGTTTGGTGTATGGTCATGGTGATGGAATGTCCAAAATGCAAGTCGAGATTTAGAGCCAACGAGAGTGTTGTCCTGTCACAGCTTCCGGCATATGCTGCATCTGCTTATCCAGTTGATGTCAGGTACGCTTTTCCAAGAAAGAACAGTCACTTGGGAAGGTCGGCAACAGACGTATTCGACTCTCTTCTTCCCACTTACGGAAACGGAGAACTGTGCAGCCGGTTGCTCTATCAATCTATCAACAGGGCGTATTTGGAAAGAGTGTCTAGTTTCTATTCTTACCTGGCTACAACACAAGAAGCTGTTACCAGTTCGGCTGCCAATGAACCAGTCAAACACCGGTACATTGACAAGGATGGAGAGTACATTCGGTTCTTTCCACCACTTGGTGACTCTATTCGAGATTCGTACGACGAAGCATGCAACAACAGCCTCACTCCCTGGGGTATTAGCGACCATGACCGCCATACAAGGGAGCTACAGAGTGTCAATTGCAGGAGCATCTTCGCCCAAGACCATACCCATGAAGTGACCAAGAATTACTTCCACAAAAAGAAGCTTGGAGCAGAGGCAATGTGGACTTGCTCCACCGAGACAGGAGAGATTGCTGCAGCCGTTCTGGTACCTTCAACCAAGACATTGCACTTCTCACACGCTGCCAAGCAGTTAACCCTCCGCCCACACTTCACTCCAAAGGTCATGTATAGTGACACCTGGCCCTGTAAGAATCAGTACTGGTCAATGCTGCTTGGTGAGACGATCGAGGGAAGATTGGGGCTGTTTCACTTTATCCAGAGAATTATACGCACATTGAGGAAACAGCATGAAGATTACTCACTGGCAATCAGCGTTCTTCTGAATGCTGTTTACGTTTACCATCGGCAGGATCTCGAGCGACTGCTCTCGGCTCTCAAAGATGGATCTCTCAACGGAACAAAGCATACCGACGAGGATATCTCTGACATGAGAAGCTCGCACATCTTCCGTCAGAGATACAGCAAATATCTTCGCAAAGAGATTCGTCCTCCACAATCAATGAGATCGCTCCTGGAAAATTGGTTCAATCGCTTCAAATGCACAACGAACAGCAATGATGAGTCAAGAGCACCAGGTGGTCGATTTGACCCAAAGACACAACAGCCTCTGTTTACCTCAGAAACCAAAACAGCACTGACAAACTGCAAGGAAAAGGCCGAATTTCTCCAAGATCCTCTCCCATTGAGCGAAATGTATGAGACGATACCACCCAATCCAAACTCGACACACACTCTCGAGGAGTATCTCTCCCGACGTGGTGAATCTGGCTTGGAAGCATTCCATCTCCTTCTCGCGCACTTTGCAAATTGTGGCATGAGGAATTCTTTGGCTGACAATCTCAACCTCGCTGGAACCGCTCGGTACAATCTCTCTGTTCGCCACAAGCTGCGCATGGCAAGGACTCCTGCAACACCAGACGCCCTAACAAAACGGAAGAAGCTTCCAGCATCATGGGAAGGCACGGTCGCCTTTTTCAATCACTCCGAATTGGCATGGATCAACGACATGGCCGAAAATGTTGGTGCACCGGCACCATTTTCTTTTGTGGAGCAGCTCTGCGAAGATAATGGTGAGCGATTCTTCTCTGAGTATATTCAGTGGATGAACAAGGAGCAACCTACCTATGATGACCAAGATCGTTGCCTTTGTGCTGGTTGTGTTGGCGATGATCCTATGCCGGTGCAAGAAATTCAAATTCAAAATGAGATATCACCACCGGAAGCATCGCCAACACCAACGGCTACTATCCAACAACAACAACAACAATTAACCGCTCCACCTAATCAGCCCAATGCCGAGCTGGCAACAACACCGGCAACAACACAGGCACCACCACCATGGCCATACCAACAACAACCACAACGGATGTACGCACCTTGTACCCCACTCGCATATTGGGTACCTGCGGTTGCGGCAGCGGCACCAACGCCATTGTACTATTGTTGTGAAAGGTCTCGAGCATGGGAAAACACATTTCCGAGGCCAAAAGGGCGTCGACCTCATGATCGCCATTGTCGCGGTCCTTCATTCCATTTTATGTGAGGTTAGCTAGGATTAGCGACCAAAAACTGACCAAAAACTAGCAAAAATAACGAATAGTAGCAATTTGAATCGCATTTTAACAGAAACCAACGTACTGCTGTAGCTAGAGGTACGCATGTCCTTTCTGTGTCCTTTTTATGTCTTATCTTGGGTGGATGGCGCACTTTGTGAGGGGAAAAGACCTTCTATGATTAACGTAATGTCACAATGACTGCCTACCCCCTCTTTTTCATAAGTAATTGTATCGGATGACGTGGGATGCCTGGCATGCGATTTGATAGAATATGGAATCCAATATAACCTTTTTTCTTTTTTTCTTTTTTTTCTCCCCCTTTTTCCTGCCTAATCCCCCCTAAAAGTTCCGAAGCAGGCAGCCCTATCTCAAGGCAAAGATCGTGCAACCAAGGTACCGACCATGATTGCACTTCCAACGCAAAGGCAAAACAACTTTCTCGCTTTGCTTCCTTATCTGTTCACATTCAGATGTTTGGCTCTTCCCTTGGAGGTTCCAGTGGTCTCTCGACAACACTTCTTGCTCGCTTCTTCAGCACCTTGGTTTCCTTCCATCACCCGTTCAACTACAGGCACTATCGAGCTTCCCCTGATATTTTTGCCCAACGGTGGCTGTCTTGCAGTCAAGATTTCCTTCAATGACAGGAATAATGAGCGACGCCTGCTTGTGTACTCGGCAATTGTTGACACGGGGTCCCCCTTCCTGACAGCTCCCTCTGCGACCGAAAGATACTCCCGTGACGCCTCTCGGAGATATCCTCCCACTCAGGAGCAGTATGGAGAAGCTGTGGGTAGTATGCAATGGAGATCTGCTTCCAATGTGGAATTCCCAACCCAAGACTTTGAACATCCTCTACTCATGGACAAAACGATCTTCGGTATTCCCAATGCCAATGTTGTGGATGACACTGGAGGCATTTTCTGTGGGCTCATTCTGCAGGACGACAAGAGACCAACCGTGCTACATCAGTGGGGATATTCTTCCTTTATACTGGATTATTCCAACAAGATACTGACGCTGTCTCAACAAAGTATCATTGATCAACACGACGGTGAAGCACTTCAACTCTTTGACTTTGCTCCTTACGGAGAGAACATTCACCACTATGGTGTTTTATGCCCTTCTTTTACCTTGGTGATGCCACCAACGGCAAATCAAAAGGAAACAGAAATCACAGTTTCTACTTTGCAACGCCCTGTGGTGGTGGTCATTGATAGTGGCTTGACTGGATGTGTCTTTTCAGACTCTTTGCAAAACGAGTTGCTTTTCAGTGGCAAACTGCAGTCCCTGGACGATGTATCAGGTCTTTCCGTCACTCTCCCCCAACAATCAGGGACGCCACTGACTCTCTCTAGCAATCAACAGTATTGGTTTTTGACGTCGTTCAAGCTCCCTTGGTTCCAGGATGATGACATACATCCTCATGTGATTGCTCTGGGAGCTACGTTTCTTGCACCCAACTCTCGAGTGTCCATAGACCCATTGCTAAGAAGAGCCAAAATTGAAGTGCAAAAGCTATAGCGGTAGAAATAGAGTGCTAGTGGCGTATTCTTCAGAGATCGCAATGACCGGTAGAATAGCTTCTAGCTTGAAGCTCTATTCATCATGTGGTGCTACGATATCAACTCGGCACAGTTGCTGCCATTGCCCTTCCAGGTTTAGTAGTTTGTTTTGTGCTCTACACAGACAACCGCCAAGGCCCTCAACAGCACTTAGACCAAGAAGACACATGCGTCTGATTGCTTATTGATACAATACTTATTTTGTCATCTTCTTCTTAGCTAGCTAGCTAGCTCATGCAAAGAATGCAAGCACAGAAGGTCCATCTCGTGCAGCAGGCACCTTCCTCGCGAACACCGACCATAGCACAGAGAAGGATTGCAGCTGAGCCAATAGAAACAGGCACTGACGTTGTCACTCTGGGATGCCAGAGCTTCCAGCCATTGCAGTCGCGTTATTACATCATTGTCGTCATTCTGCAAGAGTCTCTGCCGTCTACCATTCCGGTTCAGTCTGAGGAAGAAATCAATTTGTTGATTGGCTGTACAACTGGTTTGACGACCATCGCGACGAAGGAAACTCCCACTCAGTTTTTCCAGCACGTAGTTGTCGTTCCTCAGTAGTTTGGCGTAGGATTCTGCAATGGTAGTGCTGCCCGTGGCAATGTTGGTGTTGCATTGATTGTAATACATATCATCGCCTCCATCTCGCAAACAGAGATGGAGACCTCGTAGCGTTCGATTGTTCCGTAGTCCATTGGCAATGGCGATAGCGTGGTCTTTGTGAGCAAGTCGGTTCAAACCTAGGATTTCAAGGCTAGTGTTGACTTGCAACATTTGGGCCATGGCCTTGGCTCCATTGGTATCAACATCGTCGTCGTCCTTGCTGTTGATTTCACTAGTAGCAGGTGTTGCTGTTGCCATAATCCCCACCTCGCAAGCGAGTATCCAGAGTTCCTTCATGGCATGATTGGTTTCCAAGGCCTTTGCCATCATGACCAGATCCTCATCTCCCAAGAATCGTACCCCTCTGATTCGCAGCAATTGAATGGTTTTGGATTGGCACAAACACTGCAACGATTCCCCAGTCCAAGCCCTGGAGGAAGGAAACGACGTTTCCACAATTTCCACAACTTGAAGTGTGGGTATCTGAGAAAGTGCCTTGGAGATGTAGGAGGCAAAGTTGCTGGTTGTGAATGTACCATTATTATTGTTGTTGCTTGGCTCCGGACAGCACCCCGAAAAGCAGATTTCTTGCAGTGAAGGATGTCCTTGCAAAGCAGTTGCCAACTGTTGCAACTCCTCTAAGTCATCCTCTGATGCGGATATGCGAATGGCATCCATCCGTACAGTGGATAATGCGAGACAGTTTTGGAACAACATGGTCAAACATGCTATAGGAACTGGCGTGCTTTCGAAATCTGCAATTGTAATGGATTTCAAATGAGGTAGCGTGCTTCCCACGGCTTGAAAGATTTCCCACAGATCAGTTTCTTCATCTTGTGGATTTGTTCCAACAAGAGTTGACTGCTTGATGTGCAGCTGTTCTATTTCAGCCGATGCCAACTGGAGGAGTTGAAGGGCATGAGTTATCCCACCCTGTCTTCGAAGATCCAGCACCATGCGTTTTGTGGTTGTAGTTGTGACAATACCACTATTGGAATTGGCCTTTTCTCGTCTCCTCATGGTGAATATCCTATGATCACCAGGTATTTGTGGAATGAAAGCAATCTTTAATACTTGACTTCGTAGGGTATCCGACTCCAAGGGTACCGGTATCTTTTACAAATCAGTACCAAAAAAAGAAAGCTAGACTTGTTTGCTGCTGCTGTTGCCTTGACTGATAACTTAAAAGAGTTCCTTGTTGAACCCATCAAATCAATTCGCCCGTCTCATTCTTCTTCTTGTTTGAGGCAAAACAAGTGAGAATGTTGAAGGTTTGTGATGAGGTGGTTGACACTTTTGGTCATTCATGGCATCCTATCCGCCACATTGGGTTGAGAGCGGCTTGGATTCCGTCACTAACAAATAACACGGAGACACGTCGGCCAGGCATACTTTAGTTTTTTTAATAGCTAAATAAATATCGATAAGACATCAACTCAAACCGTCCAAATTTTTGCATGTTAGGGTTGGGGATAGTGTACACACACAACCAACACCAACCAACATCAGCACCAATCGATCGAAGCAAGCCAATAAGAAGAAGACGATGGCGAAGACGATGGCGTCCATACAATACCATCCATCTCCAAGGCAACACAGGAGCAGCACCCACGCACAGCTACAAGCAGTAGCCAACATCAGCAGGAACAGCACCATTGTCTGGCTTGGCCAT